CTCCGTTAAGAACGGCAATGCACTCCGCACCATGCACAATGCCGCTCTCCCCGCACGCTAGCTCGTTCACCGTCTGCCACGCCACGGCGGTGTGGAGGACGACAGACAAGCGCTGCATCTGCAGCCCGTGCCAGTTCTTGGTGGTCCATGTGACCTCGTCCAGGTGCTGAGCGTGCGAAAGTTTGTTGCTCAGCTGGTTCGCCGCCTCCCTCAGGGACAGGGTGCTGCGAACCTCCTTTCCAAAGCCTCCGAAAGCCTCAAAATCAAAGCGGGTCGAGCGCTCCCGCAAGCCGGCCTACGCGCGCTTCCCCCGCCTGCTTTCCTGTTTTGTGGCTGCGCTTCCTCGCACACTGGCGAGGCTGCGCGGGCCGGCGGGTGGTCGGTGGTTTTTAGGGAGCCGGGCATCTCTCGCGAGTGGCTTGTGCGAGTCTTGATTATGTCTTGTGGCATTGGCTACCGTAGTTCCATTTGATTGTAAATAAATTGTAGGGGGGATATGGCCACTTAATTGTTTAGCGGAAAGTGGAGGAACCTCTTCCGGGTGAGGGGTGTCTTCTCCCAAAGTCCAAAGAGCACCACTCTTCGCGGGAGCGCCGCCAGTACCTCTACCACCCAGAGCGCTGCAAGCGACGCAAGCGCAGCGGGCCACACCCCGCCGCTCGCGGCTTGGGGCGGACGGCGCGGGGTGCGTGATCTGACATCGGCGTAAAATTCCTCGAAACGGGTCCGGACACATCTGTCATCTCGGGAGATACGGGCACATCCAGCCGCGCAGCCGTGACCGAGCGCCACGTGCCCCATTTGCACCCCATTTCCACCCCGCCTGAGTAGATCAGTCTGCGTAGTGTCCTCCCTTCCCCCAACGCCCCCACGCGCCTCTGGGCCAGCGGCGGAATGTCCTTCTATTCCCACTTGGACGGATCGAAGGCCCACCCTTCGTCAAGCTTTTTCTGGATTTTGTTGCGAAGCGTGACTGGCATGCCACTTGCAAGCTCCTTCACGCTGAGCCTGCCATTACCATCTGCATCGCAATCTGCGAATGTCCTCTCGCGGATTGCTCTACACTTTTGGGAAGACATCGAGAATCTGAATGCGCGCAATGCTTGCTTGAACTCCTCCTTGGTCAGCCCGTCGCCGTTCACGTCAAACTTCATCAATGCTGCCAACACGGGATCTTCCACCTCCAAGCTTCCTTTCGGTCTCTGCGTTTCTTCAGAGTGGCCGCTGCCGTTGCACGAGGAACCGCACGCGCCCATTTGTGCGCCGTCGAGGGACGGCCGCACGGCAGCTACAAAGCCAGTTTGGAACTCGTACGTCCTACAACTCGAATGACTTCGTGGCGCAACGGCAGCGCGTTCGACTTCTGATCGAAAGGTTAGGGGTTCGAATCCCTTCGAGGTTATTTTTTCTCCTTTTCTCTCCCTCTCTCCTTTCCTCTCTCCTTTCCTCTCTCCTTTCCTCTCTCCTTTCCTCTCTCCTTTAACCTGCTGTTCGCGGTCTGTCACACTCCTGCATCCGGCAGTAACGGACTCCCATCCCATAAGAACCGCATCTGTTGAAGTATCCACTTTTTCAGGCGCTGTCCCAGGCAAAATGTATCCCGAAGTCCTGTATCTCCCCCTATGATACCTCCCTGTTGCTTCTACAGAGTACTTT